CTGAATGTGTTACTGTGATTGTTTGTAGAAACAGCATCACCCCAGTTTGCAACCTATGTTAATTTCTTACTTAACAAACAGTGGATTGTTTTTGGTAAGAAAACAAAAGTTCAGAATGAAGCGTCTGCGTTCAGCTTTCCATTACACATACATTTATCTTTCTATTGGCTATGAATTCTTTTATTTGTGAACTGCAAATGATTAGAATTTGCTTACACTTCCAAACCTTTGCTTGGCATAGATACTTCACTTCTATATGTGTCTGATGTAGCACTCACTAACTACAGAATTACAAAAGGTAGAATAAGGCTTTCCCCACTCAGAAATTTGCATTTTTGGTAAAGGTAGCAATATATCGGCTTCACTAACACCCCAATAATAGGCATATACTTAATTTTACATCACCATCCTTCCAAATAAAAAAGAAAGACTAAAAGATGTGTGCAATTGGTCTTTGCTTAGTATAAAATTTTCAAATCAGAACTCATCTTGCTATGATAAACACTATGAATTACATATAAACATATGTTGAAAACAACGTGTCAGGCTTCAAAATAAAAAAGCTTGATTAGCAGATGATGATTCAGTAGTGCTACTGTGCACGATCCTGTAAGCCCAGAGATTTAAAAAAAAAAAAAGCAAAAAAAAAAAAACCAACCAAACCAGTTTTGATGCAGGTTTGGCATAGAGTGTACGTTCTGGTCTTCGACTCCGTATGCTCATTCTATGGTTGAGAAATTTAAAGTACCAGATTTTTCCACATCAGATAGCAGGTAGTTGGTGCATACATTTCAGACAAGAGAACTAAGATTTCTTTAATTTGAGATGGGATCAGTAATCTATTGTTAAAACGTCCAAAGGGTGCAATAGTAAGGCAGATTTCTTATTACACCACCTCTTAAGATACTCATTGTTTGATGAAACAAACAAGGTGCTTTAAAACAGCAGAGTAATAGGATACAAACAAGTGCCGGAATGAAGGAAAACTGCTAAAATGGGAACTGCCCTTTCTTTCACAACGAGAAATAAAGAACTTTTGTATCTGGTATTTGAAAGGTTTTTAACAGCTGATACTCACTATCAGCTGATTCCTGAAGTGTTGGCAAGATACCAGGCTTCTGGTACTGGCCATTTCTAATCTTATTTAAATATTCACATCATGCAATAAGCAGTTTCACGCACTGCAATGTAATGGAAAATACTTCCTAAACTGAATCAGAACTGAGACCCAAAGCAGAACCAGTAAATAAATATCTCGCATATATGTCAAACTATATTCTTCAAACAAAACCTTACATCTTAATCAAAGAAGTCAGAAAGTACTAACAAAAATTATATGCCTTCTACGATAATACTGTTACATTTCCATGGCTGAGAATGTCCCGTTAATTTTTTTTCTGCCTTTTTAAATTAGTTGACAAAGTAGAAATTCAAACACAGAAATAAAATGCATATATATGAGAGCACTGGCTCAGCGAGATATCAAATATACAGCATTCTAGTGTCAAAAGTACAGGCAGAAATGTCCAAGATTTCTTGGTGAAAAAGGGGCATCTGAGGAGTAAAAATTCTACTTAACAATCACTCACATTTTAACAGTGCATTAATTATAACAAAAGCTGGATGATAAGTGAGCAACAGAGTCATAATGTTCAGTGTTCATAGCAGAATTTTATCCTCTGCTCATGTAAATGAGGTTGGAAACATATACTCATGTATGTGAGACTTTAAGTAGCTATGTTATTTCAATTTTTCAAGATTCCTGCAAGAGGCAAAGTTGTGACGCTGAACTGAGTTGGATGACAGTACAAGGTGGCGTTGACAGAAGTCTTCCTTTCGATGCTGTGCCTCTGGCTTGTCAAAGGATGATCAGTCCTACCATCTTGTTCAATCTATTCTTTCGCCTCCAGGAAAAGGGTTTCTTGAGGATACAGTTTTACCTCCAGTAATGATTTATTTGGATCCAGCTGGGTCACCTGTAAAGACACGAACAAGAAGATACGTGTTAAGTAGACTTTTTTGAACTGTTTATCTTCCCAGGGCAGATTTTCACTGGGGAGATTTTCGAGTCCCTCGGTCAGTGATAACTGAAATTGTGAGTATGAATTCCCAGGACGCGGATTAAGAAATATATATTGTATTTTCTGTGTTGTTGTTATTATTTTGTAACAGAATCCACGTTAATTCCAAGAAGGTCTGTTTTTCACCAGAAAATATCTCCAGAAAAGTATCTGGTTTTGTCGAAGTTTTTTGGAAAGCTTACTGGAACACAGGAGTTAAAATTAAAAATACAAGTGCAGTCCCAAAGAAGTATCCTAAAATTTCAGTCAAACTGACAGTGCAAGCAGCATAGTGCCAATCCGACATGATCTCCCCATCAAGAGGGGAAACTTACTCTGCCTTTATTTTCCTACTCCCTTTCTTGCTCCAAGTCACATGGCAAAGCATCTAACTTTCACTCACTTTGATGCATATCAGCCACCTCAGCGAACCTCAGCTGGGAGAAACCTGTCCACTTTTATTTGTTTGGTTATTTTTCTGTCATGCTGGTGGGTTTAACTGGTGAACACGTAAGTCCAGTCAACACCAAATCCAGTGCAAGGTGAGCAGCAAAAGCACTATGCAGTAAGCAGAAGGGAGGAGGCACGGCCCTCCTTTCATTGGGAGTGAGATGCGAAATCAGCTCGGCGTATGGTGAAACTGTATCTCAACCGAACTACTGAAGCGTATATTTAATGCATGTGTATATATATATATGTATTGTAAGTGCTATGTGTCTCTAGATCATTTGTGTAGACACTTAGGCGTGTACATTTGTAGTATAGGATTGCTCCCTGGAATCCTGACTCCTCGCTGGGTTTGTAAAGGTATTTAGGCAATCAGTTGTGCAGGTGGGCATACAGGAGAATTCCAGTGAGAGTTAAATGCCATGCAATTTGGAAAATTATGATACAGGCACTATCTGCACCATTATTGCCAAAATTCTTCAGCAGCTGGATCTTAGCACCAAACCCTGCAAACTGCTCAACATCCCGACTATCCCAGTACCAACTTTCACTGCAGCCACATAACCGATTCCCAGGTTATCGTCAGCAAGAAACTCAAGGATTCTATTTACAAGCTAGACTGCTACCTATAGGATAAATCTCTTCTGTGAAAACAAAATTTAATTCTAAATATTGCATAATATAATTATTTATATGACAAAATAATAAATACAAGGATCGCGGTGTCCTTCAGATATTCGGGTTTACATGCCAATGCTGTCACACCCTTCAGAAGATGACTGCAAAGCTTAACACAGAAAGCTGAACATTATTTCTCTTAATCTTACCATTTTCTGAAATATTTAATTTCCATTTCAAAACTTGTTTTCTCTGCTAATTCTGTTTTAATTTATTTTGCTGAGTGAGCTCGCTAGTCACCAGAAGTTTGCTTGTGAACAACAGATTATTAGTCTTATGCTATAGGTATAAATGCAAATGCATTCCAAAAAACATTCTTTTCCAAAGTTAAATTTGTTTTATCTATGATCATATCATGCCACTGCTTTCGAAAAATTATTTTTCAAAAACATTAAGTGTTGAGCACATCAAATACTATGAATTAATAAAAAATGCTAGATGTATTTTTTCTTAAAAGCATAATTTACTAATCCTGTTACCAATTAACAAACCCAGAATTGCTCCTCTTTCTCCCCCCTCCTCCCCATCAGGCAAACTTAAGATATATTTGTATTTCCATTGTTTTATTGGATAATTACAGAAAATCCATTCTTTAAACAAATATTAAAAGCCTATCACTTCCTAAGTCATTGCAATCAATGTAATTTCACCCCTCTGACTGCAACAGAATTAAAAAAAAAAACAAACCACATAATTAACTCCCCCCCCCAAACAGATGAATTATTTTGATTCTCAAAGCAGGAACGTATTTTCTTAAACTTCATGTACCATGGTGAGCTATTGCTAAATGTCTGAAGAGAAAAATAATCTATAAAAACCAGACTCAATTTTAGATTCCTATTATCTACAGTCCAATTATGCATTCCCAGATGCTTTTTAAATTATTGAAAGGTTATTATCTTCGAAAGCAAACCTGTTATGTAAAAAACAGCCAAAGTAGTGCATTTAAGTTTGTGATTACAGAAGTATGCTAATTAAGTATCTTGTTGCATTTTTTAATGTCTTGGTATTCTGCTACAGTCCATTGCACACAGGCACAGAAAGCAAGGTAAGCAGGGGGCTCTGCAATTCACGGCACGCGAGGTATTGTGCACCTGAGAGAAGCAATTTGCCTTCTTTTCGGTTCAATCCAGTATCTAATTAGACCTCTCTGTTTTCAAATCCTGCAACCCCTGTTTGCAAGAAAAGCTAGGAAAGACAGAACAAGTCTCCTCTACATTTGGGGGGTGTGTGTGTGTGGAATCTGAAAAGCAAGCCTAGGCAATGAACACAATCTTCCAGACTGTAAGCATATGGAAACCTATTCTTCACCAGAGCGTAACTCAAGACAGGTATCTTAGTCTAAACTCAAAGGTTTGCAAACTTCAGGTACCTTAAATAGTAACAGTGCCTGATGTCCCCTCCTCACTGTCATCATACTCACAAGGCCAGCTAAAAGCACGGTGGAGTACCTGCAGCAAAAGCGCTGTGCAGCTTTTCGCCATAATTTCAGTGTGCCGCTTAATTCACTGAGGGACAGCAGAGTTTGCAAATGTTTACACCATTACCCAATTAACTAACAATATGGCTCCTGCATCTGTCAACAAACAAAGCTGTTGTTGCTTTGTTTTAGCTCCTTGGCATTTTCTGTTCATATGGGTCGCCATTGTACTTAATTATCACACCATAACCCTTCTGCAGCTTCTACTTTGTTATTTGTGGTTTGTAAATATATTGTTTACTACAAAGAATAGAAGCCTTACTGGTGAACACATCTCCTACCAAAAGAAATGGTATCTCTTGTAAATATATAAGTCTTAAGATGCTTTGTAACTGACAGTATTTTAAAACAGAATTAGAAACTGAAGCTTGATATATAATGAAGATCAAAGGACCCTGGAAGAGCTGTAGCCCGCAAAGGTGTGTCCAATGTAGTGTTTTAATGAATTTTAGTCACTTAAATAAATGTACGTGTATTATTTTATAATGCAAAATATTAAAATAGTTTCATATTTAAATCTGTGTACCTTTTTTCATTACCATTAGGATAAATTAGGAGTCCACTTCAGTGCTGACAGTCCTTTGCTCTGATGTCACTGCATGGCACTCTTGTTCAAAACGGCCCTGCACGTTATGTAAGTTACATTGTCCCAAACCCCTACACCTTCATTATTATAAAGATTTTTTTATATATATTGTTGGCAGTTACACAGGAAGTCATTTAAGCATGTGTTTATATACTGAATCTGATTTATCCTGTTGACCTCAGTGAGGTTGGATTTCACCCATGTGGTGAAATCAATGCTTTCTTGATTAAGGTTGCAAAATTCACCACATTAAGCATTCAGCATTTGTTAAAGGCCTACACAAATGCTAAAAGCATAGTGTTTCTCTATATTTGCAAGTCCTACAATATCTGACTTTCTACCAGTCGCATGCATTCTAAGAGTCCACTCACACGTTACACGGTGATGAGTGCTGATGAGGCAAACGCCTTTTAAAAAGATACTTTACGACTTTGCTAAGGTAAGTACTTTATATTATAAAGAAACGTACACTAAAACTCCTTAAAAAGAGACTCTAAGCTGTTCCAAATGTACATTTACAGGCTTGGGGCGGACCTGCTGGAGAGCGGCTCTGTGGAGAGGGACCTGGGTGTGCTGGTGGACGACAAGCTGACCATGAGCCAGCAGTGTGCCCTGGCTGCCAAGAAGGCCAATGGGATCCTGGGGTGCATTAAGAATAGTCTGGCCAGTAGGTCGAGGGAGGTTCTCCTTCCCCTCTACTCTGCCCTAGTGAGGCCCCATCTGGAGCACTCTGTGCAGTTCTGGGCTCCCCAGTTCAAGACAGATGAGGAACTACTGGAGAAAGTCCAGCGGAGGGCTACGAGGATGGTGAGGGGACTGGAGTGTCTGTCCTATGAGGAGAGGCTGAGGGAGCTGGGCTTGTTCAGCCTGAAGAAGAGAAGGCTGAGAGGGGACCTTATAAATATCTCAAGGGTGGGTGTCAGGAGGATGGGGCCAAACTCTTTTCGGTGGTGCCCAGCGACAGGACAAGGGGCAACAGGCACAAACTGAAGCAGAGGAATTTCCATCTGAACATGAGGAAGAACTTCTTCACTCTGA